TCGATGGGCGCCTTCATGTCGAGTGCGGGGTCCGACATTGTGTACTTGAACGAGGGCCACAGCTGACGATCAAGAGGCGTCCTTGCACTGGGCTTCAATTTGTCTAGCGCCGGCAATGTAGCTAGGCGCCGCTGCCATTCGCTCTCCAGAAACGTGGACTCGACGGATTCCTCGCTGTCATCCCTATGTGAGAATTTTGGCTGTAAGGGTCGTGATATAGCAATGACATTCAGATCGTACAGTGCGGGGGTAATGCCGTTGTCGACTGCCACCTCGGCCACCGGAGGCCCGACGCGAGTCGATGGGGATGCAGAAGCGGACACCACATGCTCGTCGATACGAGCACGCAGCCCACGTACAGCGTGCTTGAAGACGCTCTGTTGCACCACGGCAGCGCGCTTCTTGGTCGCGCGCTTCCTATGCATCGCCCGCGACTCGTTGGTCCAAGTCATTTGATTGATCGCGCCTACCTGGCGGCCGCTCCTTGGGGACACCCGCGCGCGTGGATCGTTTGCTTCTTGCAGAGACCGCAGACGTTCTTGTTGTCGACGATGAGCCGCGGGCCTGTGCTTCTCGATCGACCCGTGGCGAGGACTTGTGTCGCAGACTGCATGTTGATGTTTGAGTCGCACGCGTTCCACAATCGAGCGAGCGTTCTACAAACGAGCAATCGCAGCTCAGCACTCGCAGAGTGATCGCAGCGATGCATTTTGGCCAACAAGATTGCCGAGCTCTCCAAAAAGCTCGGCATTTTAGCCAATTAGAATGAAGCAGACTTCGCGCAATAGCGCATTAAAATATCTTGATTCATGTATACCATGTCTCATGCCGTGAAAGTGGACCCAGCGCGGGCCGCCGGACGAAAAGCCGGTCGCGTAATAAAATGAATTCCCACATTCTTCTCCCTCTTTTTTTGCATGCGCTGCGCGAAGTATTTTTACTCGCCCCATGTTGTTCGCACAAAGCCTGAAAAACGAGGGTCCCCACGGATGTTACGCCCCCTTCTCCTTTGCATGTCGATTCTTTTTCGACGCACTTCAAGGGAGGGGGGCCTACTTTTTGGCAATGCACTCTATATAGTGTACGATTGTTTGTGTACAATGCTGCCCAATGTGCCTCTCGGCCGACACTATTTCCGTTTATCTCCGATCAGGTTGCAGGCCATAATATTCATTGTCGCAGGAAATATCCACGAGCCCAATCAGGCGCATGGACGAGTCCGGCGATGGCACGGAGGGCAGCATTGTCGGCGACGTCCTCCTCCACAACCTCATGGGCTTCGACCTCGTGGAGAGCGCCCCGTACTCGGTCTCGGACGTGCTCGCCGCACCGCCAAGCGCCTACCGGTCGACCGACAGCTGCTTCGCCCCGTGGAGCGCCGACGACAGGCCCATGGATCTGCGCGGTTCGGCCTTCGCTGCCATATGGGAGCGCTACCTCCACTTGAACCACCTCGAGGTAGATGAGCGGCCCGCGTCGGAGCTGGCACGCTTCCTCCACGACGTCGAGGTGCTCCAGCAAACGTACGTCGGCTACGATACGATGAGCGCGGGCGACTGGCCACTTGGCGCGCTCACGCTGGTCGTCGACGAGATGCTGTACGCGCTACAACACGCGCTGTGCGTTCGTCTCTCGGTCGCGCTTCGCGTCTTGTCCAAGGCGCTGCGCTGGAAGCGCAACCAAGCAATCGTGCTGCGGCTTCACGACGGCGCCGGCATCGCCTGCCTCTTTGGCCCCCTGACGACGCTGCTGCAAACATGGCTCGATCACGTGACCGTGCGACACGAGGGAGACGGCGACAGCGATGACGACGACGATCGGATCTGCCTCTACGATACGCTACGGAGCTGGGCAAGGCTTCTCGAGGTGTGCTTTGTCGGGTCCAGCGCGCTCTGGAAGCAGTGGGCCGACGTCGACGTCGCGATGCCCGACCTGCTCTCACCTGCCACTGCTTCCGGAAGCGCTGACCCCTCGGATGCGTGCTTGTCAGCGCTTGACGACGTCCACCACGAGTGGACCGACTACTACTTTGACTCGAAGAAGCCGACGCCGATGGGCTTTCTGCAGCACGCGTTCTATGCGCTGCCGCCACTTCGCGCCTTTGAACACGTTTGTATCGAGAGCCTTCTCGTCGTTTTCGCCGCGACCCGGGCCGCCGACCTCACCTCGCATCACGTGGTGTCGCCATGGATCCCGCTGCAGCTCGATGTGCTCGGACTCCTCGGGGCGCTGCTCTGCGTCCACCGAAGTACGTCGTCGGCGCCGATAGTTGGGGACGCCTTCTTATCAGCGCTCTTTGATGTGCTGCTTTTGGACGCCAAGCAGCCATCGGGCTCGGCCCAGCGCATGGCGCAAGAGACGTCGCTCACGTCCATGGTGCTCCGTGTCGGCCTCGAAGTGTGTGCGACCGCCGATAATCTCTGGCTCGTTTTTGCCGAAAAGCTCAGCCTCGTACAGTCGCCGCTGCGCTGGCTCCTCGACACGTCGCTGCAGCTCGCATCGTCGACAACGACGATCGAACCGCGGACGTCCGGCGAACACCCGACGTATGCGCTGACGCTGCATGGCGATCTCTTTTCGGATGTGGAAGCTGCGACCGGCGACCGCGTCTTGTGCTATGCGTGTCAGCACCATGCGACGCGCTTTGTCGCGACCGGGCTAGTCGCGGCCTGTGGCGCGCAGCGCCTCGCATTGTCGACACCGGCGCATCACGCATGGCACCACGCCAACCTCTGCTACAAGGCGCTGTTTGACACGCTCTTTCTCACGTTTGCGACCCCGGCGGTGCGCTTCCTCGACACGACGATGCCGGTCGACCTGAGCGCGTCACCGATCGCTGGCTTTTTCGAGCACATAATCCTTGTGGCATTAAACTGGAGCCGCGCTGCGCGCCGCCACGTCGCCGGCGTCAGCGTCGAGCTCCACGCTGCGTGCTTCCTCCGACACGTCTTTCATTTGCATCCGCAGAGCACGGTCGTCGCGACTACGCTGCGTGACGCCGACGCGTGGCCGTTTCTGTGGCGGCACCCGAGTCTCTTTGACGCGCTCGGCGCGCGCTGTTTACATCCACGCACATTGCGGCTCGGCGATGTGTCGACGACGATCGCGGCGCTCGACAAGGGCCCGCGCAGCTGTTTTGCCACGTACCATGCGGTCGTCCTGGCCACGCTTTTGCGGATTATGCACGCGCTTCCCGACAAGACAGCGTACTTGGGGCTAGTCTTCAAGAGCCTGGTCGCGACGAGTCAGGAGAACGATGCTTGGTTCCGTTTCTCGATGCTCTCGGTGCTCGAGCAGCTGGCCTACGCCGAAGGTGCCGCCTTTGACGCCTTCTTTCTTGCGCATGTCCCGTTGGTGGCGCGGTTGCTCGGGCCCATCGATGAGAGTGATGCGTCGTCACTTGCCCGGCGAGCGAGTCTTCGCTTCCTCCACGTCTTTGTGACCCCGTTGCGGGCTGTGGATGTCCTCGACGTCGAGCTCACGATGCGCTGCGGGCTCCTTCCGGCGCTTTTCCAGCTGCTGCACGACCCGACGTGTGTCCCGTACATACTGCAGATGCTGCCGGGGCTCTTGCACGCGGGTCTGGAGCTTCTCTTTGGCCGGCACGTGGCTGCGACATCGGCCGACGTGCTCCACGCCCAGCTCTTCCAGCTGTACACGCAGTCACTCTCCGAGCTCATCTCGCAGACGCAGCGTGGCGTCGGCGACGTGGTCATGGCGCTCGTCGATGTCCTCGACTCTGTGCTGGCATCGAGTGTGTACGTGACGGCGGCGCAAAAGCTGTTCCGAGACTGTGGGCTCTTTGTACATCTCACCAATTTGCTCCACTCGCGCCATTACGTCGAGACACCGGGCCATGGCAGCGTAATCCGAGCTGTCGGCGCCGTGCTCACGTTGCTCATGGCGGGTAACCGCGAGTCCAAGGCCGAGTTTCGGTCGCTCCTCGGGTCGGCAATCGACGATCACGATCACGACCGCGTCGCGTACGCGCCTCTTGTCGACGTGTGCTTGGCCGCCGAGCCTGACGCCATCTCGCTGGCGACCATGGAGCTCTTTCTCAAGATGATGGTCGACAACGATCGTGCCGGTTGTCGGATCCACAACCCAGACGCGGTGCCCGTGCTCTGGCTCCTCTTCCGGCGCTGTGTGGTCGAGGTGCAACATGTTGTCGTTGGACGCTTCCTCGAGCTCTTTGACGCGGCGACGTACGCGGTGCTGAACCGGTCGATGTGCTGCTATGTCCAGCCTGCGACGCTCGACCAGATCCTCGATTTACTGGAAGCCGACGTCGTGTCCGATGGCCTCTTGCAGATCATGGTCGAGATTGGCCTCCACAGCATTGGTGTCAAGCAGCTCAAGCGCTTCTTCCGCCTCTTGCAAAAACCGTCGATGGCGTCGCACGCCGCGCCGCTTGTCCACGCCCTCTACCGCATGGTCACGCCCAAGCGCGTGGGCCCGAGCCGGTTCTTCTTTCTCGATGGCGAGCAGTCGGGTCTCGATGTCGCACCGTCGTTTACGCTGCCGTCGCGCGGCTACACGCTGCACACGTGGGTCCGTCTCGACGAGGCGCCGTCGCGGAAGAAGCAGACGCTCCTCTCGATCCGCGACGAGA